GATAGTAGTAGTGGTAGTTTACTAGGCAATTTGTGTTGTTCTTCACAGCCCAAGAAGTCCGAGAAGGCAGAGTGGCAGACCAAGAAGTAGATTTAATATAAGAAAATAAACCACAGTTTCAGTGCGAAATCTCAATAAAGCGCAGATTATTATTAAGAAGCAAAAAAAAAAAGAAAAAAAATCGAAACCAAACGAAAAAGTCAAACTTCTTCACACATACACACATGCACGCGTATTCATGTACACATACCAGAGGCACAATCGCGTTTTTACAATTGACTTGACACGCACGCGCGAAAATGAACCGCGAAAAAGCGTATAGGAGAGAAAAGAACAAAATAAATATACATAAAACACTTTTGATATCATTTCTATCGACGTCTCGCGTGGTTCGCTAACACGTTTTCGTCGTCACGTTCATTTGAATTGTTGGCAAACTAGTTCGTTAGCGCCGCGACAAATTTAACGAGTGAGGATTGAAAATTGCACAAACAATTCTATGAGTTATAGATATTTGATTATATTTCCTCTTCCGAGCTAGAAACGGTCAAAACGAGCGATGTAGAGAGAGAAGCTGATTCTGCGTAAACATATATTCACGTACAATTATTATATATAAATAAAAACGATAAGTTGTGACAATAAACAATCCAAGAGAGTGCACGTGAATAAGTCAGATGTTTTCTTCGTATGTCCGATTCTTTCGTCACGACATCCTTTATCGACAAATTTTTCTACCCCTTCTCGTTTTCTTCACTTTTTCCTTATTTTTACGGTTTATTTCCTTTCCATCTGTGGAGTTTCTCACTGCGACAAATCGCTCTTGATTTTTATTTTCTCTTCCTTTTGTCTTTGAATCCGCATTGGATGCGAAACTCGATAAACTGACCCAATTCCCGATTCTTTCTGTTCTGTGTAATAGAAACGCGATGCTGCGTACGAGAATGTTAACGCGACCATAGTTTTTTGCGATACACACACACACATATATATATATATGTATATATATATATATATATATATATATATATATATATATACAGGGTGTATATGAAATGATGCACTAAACTTTACGAGCGTATTCTAGAGGTCAAAATAAGACTTTTCTTTCTTAAAAATATGGGTCCGCCAATGAATCCCCCTCCGAGCTAAAATTCGAAAATGTGTGAAATTGACCAAACACCCGCAACGCAAATTTATTTATCTCTCAAGAGAGGATGATAGGTAACGTCAAAACCTTTTTTTTCTGAAATATAGCCAATTTTAAATTTAAATTTAAATTTAAATTTAATTTAAATTTTATTTATTTTTATTTTTAATTTTTGCTCCAAACTTTAGGGGCCAGCTCGGAAAGGAGTTTATTTGCGGACGCATGTTCATAGGAAGAAAAATCTTATTTTAACCTCTAGTATACGCTCCTAAAGTTTAGTGCATTATTTCAGATACACCCTGTATGTATATATATATATATATATATATATATATATATATATATATATACATATATTTAATGCAAAATCAGATACGATTTTTGCCCAACGTGCTCATATTTTCTTGTCGCGTGATAAGAGAAATTCTCTTACAACGATGTTAGGCGAACGCGTATTTCAAATATTCGATAAGGAAAAAGGTCAGGTGTTATCGAGAATCGTACCGTTACTCTTTCTCTCTCTCTCTCTCTCTCTCTCTCTCTCTTTTCCTTTTTTCCCCCCTCGTAAAACTTCACTAATTCGCCTTTCTCTGAAACATCGTTAATTTCTTTTATCGCGCTCTTTTTCTTCAACATATCGCGGCGATTACTGTCTAATTTGTTTTCGGTATTCGTATCTTTTTTTATTCTCCCTTCCCTTTACTTCTACCTACGTAATTACGCAAAAATCTTCGCGATAGCATAATTCAACACGAAATAGATAAAATATAAGGTTAAGAAGAGTGTGAAAAAAGGTGAGAATGGCTTGTGAAGTATATTTGAAGCTGATAGTTCTTCACTTTTATTTCGTACATAATGGCAGAAGCGCTTTACTCACACACACATGCCTGCACCCACATACATTCGCGTTTTTCTACTCTTTACTATCTAATTATACGTTGCCTTCCGTTTTTCCGCACACTCACCTCGTTTATCTTCTGTTCACACATGTTAATTGCCGCGCACTTTCTCACGCAAAATCGTCCGGCAAAAAGAGTAAATAAAAAGAGAAATACCAGACATCACCTGACAAAAAATTGAAACGCACTCTCTGAAATTAAAATTTCATTTGATTACGCAGTTGAATCTCTTTCGCAGCTTGCCTTATCGCCGTTATTCGGCTGCCATGCTTTCAGGCTGTAAATGTATAGGATTTGTTGTTTCGTCTTTGTTTGTTCACGATCATGCACGCACTTTGACATATCAAAAAATCTCTTTCATATTATATTTTCCGAATTTGCGATACTTAAATAATTTAAAGATATTTTCGCGATTATCAATATGCGTGTATCGATTACGATATCGATCGTGGTTTACGAGTGTAAGCCACGAACGATACATTAAATATTATTAAACAATATTTAAATGTGTATATTAAATCCTTACTCAATGTCCACGTCTTATCCGTTGACTAATAATATTGCTCTTGCATTATGTTCGCAGAACGCGTCAAAAGATAAGGTAAAACTTTAACAACCAACTTGTAGCTCGATTTGCATGCGTGGAAAAGAATGATGTGTGTGATAGATGGGAGTAGATAGAAGAAGAAATAGATTATATGTGCGTGTATATGGAAAGTGGAAGAATGGAGGAATAGGATACAGAAAAAGCTTTCTTCGTTCTTAACCTAGTTCTTCGTAGTGATGCAGCATTCAATGCAAATCGTTTTTCGATATTTTGTTTTGCTTTGTACTCGTGAGTTTCTCATGACGTTTAGACGCATTGCTCCTAAAAATTTGCAACGATGCTGCCATTGTCTTAGTTTTACCGCGTTTCGATGTTTCTTTTATTTATTTTATTTCGAAGGCTAGTATAGAGAGCTTATTTCGCTGTTTCTCTTTATTTTTACTAACAATCTGCACGGCTTTGTAGATGCTCCAAACAGAGCGCAGTGCCAGATGACGTTTACGAAAACGTCGGGAGAATTTTTTCGGTTGTAAAGGATACGCGATCCTAAAAGTTGGCACAAAAATTCGCGATTGGATAATGTATGACGACGCAATCCATGACAATAATCACGAAGCAATTTTTGCATAAATCGTAAATTCTCGTAAATTTTTGATACAACCCTTCCGACTAAGTAGCCCCTTTTGAAACTTTTCGATACCGTCGTCCCTGCTTTGCGAGCGTTCACCCCGACACTGCTAACCAGTGTGCGAATCTAATCTCGAACACGTGTAACGAGATTTCCATGTATTTGATCGCAACATTTTCTCGATTTTGCAGAAGAAACCCGACTGGTCCAAGAAGGGAGGCGAGGAAAAGAAGGTAAAGGAGGAAGAAGCGCCGGCACCGGCGACACCGGTGGAAGCATGAGACAATTGAAAATGCTCCCGCGAAAGAAACAGGATCATCTGTCCGTCACCGTCAATAACCGCTCGATACAGGAACTCCAATAAGCTTCCTCTTAAATTTTTTAACTATCGATTTATTAATTCATAATTTAATATGTCCCGCTGTCGTGAATTGCACGCAAAAATCTTGCCTGTCTGTCCATTATGATTGCCATATCCTAGATTGTATCAAAATTTCTTGACATTTAATATCCGATCCATAGTTCTATTTTCCCTATCAAACCTTTTTTTATGGATGTGATGTATCTATTTTTTTAAATAGACCTTGTACATTTCTGTAGAGCTCTTATTGCGTGCAAGATATATGAAAAAAAAAAATAAATAAAATTTGTCTTTCTATAAACGGAATGAGAGGAGAAGGTTCTAATTGTAAGAAGAATAACGGGAGGAAAATTGTTTACTTAAGGTTTATTGTAAAGCAAAATATTTAACGATACTCAAAAGCTCTGTGTGTGATCATTTTCCTATGTTTTTTTCATATTCCTTTCATGTGCCACTTGTAAGAAATCTTGTTTTAACCTTTCGTGATTTAATGTATAACAAAATTATGTACAATGATTTTTACATACGATAATAATTGTTGTCACGTCACGTGTATTTCTTCATCAAATAGAAAGATTGACTAACTTTTCTGTTTTAATAATATAATTATGAAAAAAAAAAGAATCTTTTATTTCTTAATTTTTTTAAAAAAAGAATATTTTTTAATTTTTAACTAATATTTTTGATGCAACTTAAAGTAATAATATAATTAAAAATGTTTAGTGTCCGGCATTTTCTTCATCATATTTTGAATTTTAATAATTTTTTTCTTTATAAAAAATACATATTATATTTCAAAATATGTTAATAGCGTATCACGATGGGAAAAAATTTATATTGAAATTTTTAATCGTTATTGTTGCGTTGATCGAAGAATAATTTCTTTAATTTAAGAATAATCTTTTTAATTTATAGAGAGAAGTTAATATCTAGAGATATACGGTAGGTATGTCATACTAATCGGATTTCGCTTAATAACCATTCGCTATTGAGTGACGCTTCCGACACAGCTTCATCACGTTCGCTATGATACACATACTCTCTTATGTACTTTGACAATTTTAATCTACTTAATTGATTTACGAATCCATTCATTTCACTCCACTTTCGAGAAGTTTTTCCACGTCGACTAGTACTCAAAATAAAATATATATCGGCAATAATTTCGATCGATTTACTTCCAATTTCGATATGTCATTCAATTAGATTACATTTATTTATTTTCTAGAAAAAAAATTCGATAACTATTCTATGATCTTTTATTTCTATTCGTCAATGAAAAATATCACATTTGAGATATAAATTGAATTTTTTAAATTACTTTTTTTTAAATATTTATTCAATGCTTGCAGTCATGTCGCAATTTCTTTCATGCGTATTTATTATTAATTATCGCGTCAATTTGCGTCTCGATAATGGGTGTTGATGTATCCAATTAAACGGTACTTTCAACAAAGCCGCATTATATCAACTCGAAACAAACATTGAGCATTTTCATACGATCGCTACACATACGATCAATTTTCAATCTCCCTGTTTATTTCGCGATTCATCGATGGTTTTCCATCCGCCGGGGTAAATCTATTCTCCGCCACGGTCTCGTTCGGCACGCGTTCCACGCATTCGACCGTATTCATAATCGGACGTCACGTTGTTTAATTATCTTGACAATATACGCGATCGTAATGACTGCGATGATTTATAGCGTAAAACGCCAACGAAGCCCGGAGAAAGCGAGCGGCGCATCGTAAGCTCATGGACACATAAAACATTATTATCACATAAAACATTATTATCATCGAGAGCGGGACAAATGACGTATCTATAAACGGCAGTTTAATACGGAGTATATTTGCAAAACGCGTTGACCGTTAATCATGCAATTTATAATATATGTGTCGGCGATATTACGCGCAATTGTGTTTTGCCTACGCTTAAGTATTTTTCGCGACAAATCCCATGACAAAACGAATCCATTTCTGTAGCGAATCATGCATTAAATTTTAATGAAATATATTTCGAATATTATTTTTTTCACTTTTATCTCTAATTGTCTTTGTCTGCGAAAAATTCCAATGGTCGAGAAAGCCTATATAATTCTCCTTAATCTTTCGATACACGTTTTTCCTTAATTTTTTCCTACATACATACGAAGTATATATTAATTCGATCCATCACAATATCTCAAAATGTTTTATTGCCGGATAATAAATGCATTTTGTGTTAATGAGTGTTTTACGTATAGGAAGGCGAACAAGTCGAAGCTTCTGCGGCGGAACCACCGCCGCCGGAACCGACACCAACGCCAGAACCAGCGCCAGTTCCGGCTCCGGCCCCGCCGCCAGCGGAACCTGCTCCCACGCCATCACCAGCACCGGCACCTCCAACCGAAGGTGCTCCAGCAGCTCCTCCCGCGGAAGGCGTTCCACCGGTGGAAGGAGCTGCACCAGCACCTGCTGGTATAGCTTAAAAAACTTTCAATACACATGGCTTCTCTCGAAATCCTTTTCTTTTTTTGAAAGAATTGAAATTTTTATTTAACAGAGTCTTGAATTAATAACAAAATATAAAAGATATTCCCAATAGGTTTTTTAAAATAAGTTAATTAATTTAATTAATTTCTTTATCAAATTTTGATAGTCTGCACGCTCGGTGTCTCCTCCCTTGCTTTATAATTTTTAAATTTTACACTTTTCAAGCAAATATTATAATTTGTAGAAGGTGCGCCCCCAACAGTCCCAGCAGAAGGTGTTGCACCACCTGCGGAAGGTACCGTGCCACCAGCGGAAGGAGCTGCGCCTCCGGCCGAAGGAACCACACCTGTTGCTCCTGCGGAAGGAACAGCGCCGTCAGCGGAAGGTGCACCGGCCGAAGGAGCACCTCCAGCCGAAGGTTCCGCACCCGCTGCTGCTACCCCTGCCGAAGGTGCTTCCATAGAAGGACCACCAGCGGAAGGTTAATTTCATCTTTTCTTTTTTTTTTATATTAATAAAACCTATCCGTTTCATTACTTATACAAAAATTGCATTAAATTTTAAAATAATACAAAGTAAATCCGAAATATATATTAAATCTTTAGTTGTGAATAATATTGGTAATATATTGGAATATTTTCTATATACAATGCTAATAATAAATCAAAACACAAATATTTTGTTAGTTAATAATTTTAAAATAGCTTTTTTTGATACGACAATTAAAACACGTCGATCAATCATTATCAATTTCAATCAAGTTTGCTTTTGGTTTTCTAAATGTGAAAAAATAGGTGACGTAAGAAGGGATTATGATTGATCTGTTATATATAATAAAATTTTTAACATCTTTCAATGCAAAAAAAAACTTATCGTGTAGGTGCAACACCAGCAGTACCAGAAGGAACTCCTGCGGCTCCGCCAGCGGAAGGAGTTCCCCCAGCCGAGGGAGCTCCCCCTGCTTCTGATGCAGCTCCAGCGGAAGGCGCACCAGTTGCACCCTCCGAAGGAGCCGCAGTCGCTGCTGCACCCGCAGATGCGACACCCGCAACTCCAGCGGAAGTCGCATCGGCGCCCACCGAAAGTACGTAAAATATTTTGCGCGATTTGATTGTTGATTTTGTTTTTCAGGTTATATATATAATCAAATTCATTTTCTTATAAGTCTGGCATTTTAAACTTTTTCGGCAAACATTTTTGCAATTGTCTTTTTACCAAGACGTTTTCATTTTTTAAAATCAAATACTTGCCGCACGGTTTTGTATTTTGCAAAAAAATAAAAACGCAAGAAAAAACAAAAACGATAAAATTTGTTGACTGCCAATTTTACGTTGCCTGGCAAAATTGGCTTCTATTAATTTTTTTTAACTTAATTTTTAGCTAATCTAGTTTTGATATTGCGAGTTACAATCCGCATCAGAAGCAATCCCGCGCTAAAGAGCGCGAAATACATCATGAACGGTATGTCTATGCCAGCAAGTAATAAACGCAACGGACTAAAAAAGAAAAAAAAAGAAAAACGATACGATGGACTAAAAAATATCTAATCTAGCATCACAGGCATGTTATAGACAAACTAATTATTGCAAACTAATTGCAATCAGATATCATCTGCGATATAATGTTTATCGGAGGAAAATCAACGAGAGCTGTTCTCCTCGGCTATCATCGACTTATCATTAACTCTAATTAATAATTTCGCACTCTGTTACCGCGATTGCTTCTTAATTTTAATCTTTCTTTTTTTTCTCGCACAGCACCTGCATCGTAATTGAACGGAAAAGAGAGAGAGAAAGAGAAAGTGAAGGGATCACACACATTTTGCCGCACATTTACTTTTCTCTCGTCAACGTCAAACTCTGAAGAACATTTGCACCATCAACAGTAAAGAATGGATAACCGCGGCTCGCACTTTTCTTATCGTCATCATCATCATTATCATCGACATCACCACCACCACTAGCGTCCTTTACCGTCATCTCTATCGCCGTCGCTGTCTCATCGCTCACACTTTGCATATTCATTGTTCATGCATCACGAAAACTTGCACGTGCCACATGAGATGTAAAACAAAACAGAATAATACACGAGAAAGAGAGGAAAAGAAAGAGAGTCGCGTGTCCCGTCACGCGATATATCTTATCGAGAACTCGACGCGGATTTCATATCTTATTTGTCTGATATCCGTTATGAGAAACGAATCCGCTCGTTATTAAAATGCCGGGAACGATCTTTATTCGACGAATGTTGCGATTAATAATCGAGATTATGTCAAGTGCGCATACATACATTTCGTCACGTTCGCTCGAGCATTCGATAACTCTTCCATCAAACCAAGTATTAATCGGTAAAGTAATCACACACACACATACACAAAACCGCGCATCGGAATTCTCTAAATAATCTACCACGGCACGTCGTAGTTTTCTTTACACAGATCAATATCGAATCGACACATCTTCTGTACGAGAAATTGGATTTCGTAATAAAAGCTTTTCTTCGATTACTGATAACACTTCTTTCGTTTAATAGATGTAGCCTCTCTTTCCCTTTATCCTACTTATTTATTTCGTCCCTTTTTACAATTTTTTGACGAATTTTTTCTTATCGTGTATAATTCATAAATGTTTAAAAAATAATCGAATAATTCGTTTAAAAGATGTAACGAACTTAGTTAATAATGTAACCTTTTTAACGTCGATATAAATTTTTCTTCTACGCGTTTCACGTTACATAATAATAATAATTGTCTGTAAATGATCCATTTGTTTACGATTTATATAGATCTTATTTCTTGGACCATAATTTAATGTTTACCAATTAGTGTGGGCGTAGATCTTTTTAGGCGTTTAATAACCATTTGTTTATTGCTGGATTACACCTTTTTCCTTTTATTGTGTTTTGTTTCACAACATATATGCGATAAAGACAATAGACGACTCTTATTAATGGAGCCTAAGAAGGACTGTCTTATTGTGCGTTCTGTCATATCGCAAATTTCTTTGTTTTTCGTATGATATTTTCCGCTCACGTTCACGCATAAGAAAATAATAATAAATATATACTACTCTCTTTATATCTAATAATAAAATATATTAATAATAGGTATATATTAAAATTTATACATATGTTAATAATAAATATTATAGAGCATCATGTATGCGCGTGCGAAATACATTTTAAGGAAATTGTATACAAATTAAAGTGGATTAAAAAAAATCGATTCTTCGTACAACAAAATTTTAATCGATTTGAATCAGATCGGAATCAGAAATACATTTCTGTCGCCAATTATTTGATCTTGATTGCAAATGATAATTCTTGTTCAATGGGTGCACTTCGATTAATTCCGCCATCATACATCGATAATTGGCATAAATGATTCCCGTAACAATTTTGGCATGAAACAATAGCACAGTTTACATAAATCAAAATTGAAAATGCAACAGCAATGCAAAGGTGTCTGATAATAATCATAATTTTACACGTGTGCATCATTACTGAACTATATCAAATAGATAGATTACGAATGGGTTTAATCGCAAGTTGAAATATTCAAGGCTCAATATTATTCGCGTTGAAAGCGAAAAACAAAGAGGCAATTATAACGGCTTCTCTCATGAGATGATAATTACGTCGAAATCATAAAATATGGCAAATTACATACCTTGAGTGAATTTATCGTACGGAGGCAGGGTCAGGAATAATCGTATCAAGCCGGAAGATTGACAGCAAGTCCATCGAAGAAAATATACATTGCAGATTGCGCAGAGTTGATATTAATTGTCTCACATTTACAGCACCGATATATTGCATTTAATATATACAATATGTGTAAAATACGACAATCGCCCGATACTTTTTTTTCGACACTCCCGACAGTTTTCTCGTCACTCTTGACACTTTTTTTCGGCACTCCCGGTACTTTTTTCGACACTCCCGGTACTGCTTACTTGCAAATAATATTTATTGTCAGACCACTAATCACAACAAGTACGAAACTGTGAATTATTGCGACAATCTTCACCTAAAGATTATTGATTATTATTTCTTGGAAACGTAAGTTGTCATAAATATTTATCGCATTTAAAATTTTCTACTGCTATGTATATTGTATTTGAGAAATATAAGACTTTTCTTCCTTTCAGGAAACATACAAATTAATATGTAAAAATACTCGATAATAAATTAATAATTTTAATAATTAAAAATTAGAGATAGAATTAATAATTTTAATAATTAAAGATTAAAGATAGAATTAATAATTTTAACAATATTGTTATAAACTTTAAGCAACAAATAATTTGCGTTGCATAAATAAAATACAATAAGTTTTTTCTTCTCTTAAACTATATCTATCCAAGAGCATTAATAAAACATAATAAATAATATAATAACATAATAAATAATAAATTGTTATAACTGAAACGATAGTTTTTAGTAAAAACGATTAGGTTACATTACACAATTGTTATTGCATTTTAATAATATTTCAAAGGAAATGAAGATCAATCGCTTTATTGTTTATTGCAGTATATAAATTATATAAAATATATAAAAAAAATTATACAAAAGCAATAATATACTGCACGCAATTTCTACCATTCGAAATACCTAACCTCTATGTAAATGTAAAAAAGGTCAAAGAAGGAACTCTTAGCCGAAGGAACTCTTCTCGAAACCGTTTATTCACGGAATTATAAAGTCGCAAATTGCAAACCTGATCACAATCGTAGATATTAAATCGCATGCAAGACCGCGAGAAGTCGACTGTTAAATATTGTCGATACGCGAAAAGAATACGTTGCTTGAATTTAAAACTATATGTATGTACATAGCACATAGACTTAACGTCACACGCGAGTGCTCTCATACTTGAAGTTATTTCCGGATCAAATGCATCGCATCTACTTAAATGGCGGCGCATCCGATCCAGAAGTAACCATCTTCACAAGTATCAAAATACTCGTGACGACGAGTGTATGTATTCCATAGTCCCGGGTCGTTCTCAGAGATTAGTGCAGGAAAGTTAAAGTGGTTTTTAATGTGAGTCGCACAGAGTGCGAGGCTTCATAAAACGATAATTGCGCGAAATTATAAAATTGCAAATTACAGAGAGTGGGAGAGAGAGAGAGGAAAAGAGGCAGGCGACGCTTAACTTGTCGGCGCATGGAAAATAATGGTGCGAAGCGTGAGAGATTGACAGGTTATCGCGCGCGGTCGGGATACGGCGCGTACTTCGCACCGAACCGTCGCCGGCTGCGCGCGAGAGCAACGCGCATCGCGTCAGTCGCGCTCCGACCTTCGCGGTGGAAGGACGTACGTCGGTGTTCTCTCGGTTTATCTCGGTTTGTGTGCGCGTCGTTCTCGATCGCCTTGCCGCGTATTAATCGCGCGAGTGTCGTACATCGAGTGAGACGTATATCAGACGCCGATCAGTAACGCGAGTGTTTTACTCGGTTTAATCGGTCGGTGCAAAAGTACGCCATTACATCAGCTCCAACTTCACGGTGAGACGCCTGTCATCGGAGAGAGATCATCGGCGGATCTTTTCACGTCCTCCCAGCTGTCGTAAGATCGCTCCAAGGACTGCTCGGTAAGTCGTCATTCACGCACACGCATACACATGTATGTATTTGTTGACACAGACATGACAAGCGCGACGCGGTAAAAGAAGTTTACGTTTCGATGGAATCCATTCCAGATCAACGCGCGGCGCGAACGTTACATTTTCAAATCGTGCATGCATAACGCGATCACGTGACTGCAAGTTACACTCGATACGTGCTCCCAGAAGTTGTCGCCGACGCGGTTTCGTAAAGCGCAATGTAAGAATATTGGATGAAATATCCCCTTGTCAGTCGGACGCATATTGATTTTATCCGTCTCTTATTTCACGCGAGAGAAAAATTAAAGAAAACAATGCTTTTATTAAATACAACATACAAGTTTTTATTGCGAAACATATGGCTTCTGGAGTAAATAAAAACGTGTCAGTAAAAATAATAGAAAAATTGTTTGGAAATTGTTTGTTGTCGTTTTGTTTTTTTTTTTTTTTTTTTTTTAATAAAAATGTTTTCCAATATTTATCGCACACTGCGCGACGTTCCTTTTTACATTTTCTATATATCCCACGAATGGATTTGATATAGATATTTCAATGTGAGAACGATGATATGAAGGGAGCTATTCTTAGAACCCGGTCAGCATTTTATCTGCGCGTTGGAAATTTAGATTGTTCATTTAAGCGTGTAGATTTTTCATATCCACAGAAGGCAAACATACGCCCCGAAAAATCGGAACGCGCCGTTGCCAGCCTTTACTTTCCGGACTGTAAATATCCTGACAGGGGTAGATTTTCGTGGTAAACAGAAGCGTGTATTCTATTTGTGTCAATATTTCCAGTAGAGAGTGACTGCTGTAATTCGAATGTTAGTCGATGAATGACGATCTTTTCTCTTTTGTAATAAAACCGGTTATAGAGTACGTTATATATAGTCGAATACTTTTACAATGTTTCTATTTGATCACCAATGTTTTATTTTTGTAATTGGAATACACGCTCGAAAGAGTCATTTGTCATTTGTCATTTTTCATGTTGCATATAAACGAAAAGAGAGAGAGAGAGAGAGAGAGAGCAAGATTTTTTTTTATATTTATTATTTTATTCATTTATTTTATAACGTAAGCGAATAATATATGAAATAAAAAAATCTCCGTTATTTTGCTCAGCTAAAAATGAAATAAAAAAATTGTCAAGCATGTCATACCTTCGGTATTAAAATCGTTAGTTAAACGTGCTTATGAGACGATTCTTCCGCACAGATAATCCAAGAAAATAGAGACGATACCTTGTTTCAGCGCTACGTGATTTTTTTATTCGCCTATCACATCGATCATATATTTGATCGTATAATTGAAAAAAAGGACGAAAAGAGAGTCGTCAAACTGCATATATGCGACGAGAACGTGGATCGATGGTTTCCGACTTAAATACTCTGAAATTTAATTACACGCGTACTTGTTTTGACAATGCACGGAGAAAGAGATTACGGACAGTCGGAGAGGGGAGAAATAGAGAGAATTCTTCCGGTTCGTTCCGGTTGTACCGGTTCGAGTTGTTGGAGGCTGCGAAAGAGACGCGTGGATAGACGAATGAGAGAGAAAGACGGAGAGAGGGATATAGTTGATTGATAAGAAATCCATCGCGTACGACATTGTAATTTCCTGTCGCTATAAATCTTGAGATATTTAGAGATATCAATGTTGATACTCAATCAATGGCAAAATTAATTCTACATATCTGAAATGTAACGTAAATCACGTATTGGCGTTTTTGTGCTTTAAATATTCCATTCATATTCTCAATACATTTAAAAATACGCAAAACTTTGACTTCAACTTTCGATTCCCACGTAATAATTGCTAGAATAAAAGAATAAGAGAATAAAAATTTTTATAATTATTGTTTTTTTATAATTCTGGTAAAAGAAAAGGAAGAGAAAATTTTAAGAAATAAGTTAATAAAGAGGTCGGTTATTTCTCTTTTTTTTTAAATACTTGAACACGTTTGAAAACGTGAGCGAATGAAGCAACGATTGCGAGATTAGTAAACTTGTTATGCAAATCATGTATTTGTAAGCCAATTGAGTTATACGCCCTCAAGTAATATGTCGAGCTTGTAAACTAAAACATCCTGCGGATGTTCTACCTCATTGGAGTACCAAAATGTGCACTCGGCACGAGTATCGGAGTATTGGGGTACACATTGAACACTTTTGCGTTAAAGCAACACGTTTGACGACACACCGACCCCACGTGTATCTCACCCTCCTCCCCCTCCTCCCCCTTCTCTCTCTCTCTCTTTTCCGGGATATTGCGTGTCGGGCACAATTCGAGGTTTATTCGAGTCTCGGAGTTGTCGCTCCCGCTAAAGCTGGGTGAGTCGCCTTCCCGTAATATCCGTTATTCGGTTCCGCGAGCTCGGAAGTTGCCGCGAACGTTGACGGGATTTATCTCTCCCTTGGTCAAAGTTGCCGGGAAAATAAGGCGAGTCTTCCGGTCGTCGCGCTGCTCGTCGGAGCGATGTGACGGGGTTCGAATTCAGGGTCTTATGAAAGAGCTTAGGCATCCCGTTCCGAGATTCATCGGCGCTTGACGGGAGATTGTTATTGCGCTGTTTCGGGATTAATGCTGATCATTTCACGGATTTAAATAATTTTACTTTGAGGGCACATATGTGGATGCGTGTGAAAAATAAGCGGTAGATGAATATCAATAGATCAGTATAAAAAAATACCGCGGATATTATACAAATTTTATTATATTTTTTATAAAATACTTATTTAATAAATATTTAATAGATATTAATTTAATCAGTATTTAATAAATATTAATTTAATAAATATTTAATAGATATTAATTTTATCAGTATTTAATAAATATTAATTTAATAAATATTTAGTAAATATTAATTTAATAAATATTTATTTATTTTCAAAAATGTATAAAGCTCTTAGAGTCGACATCTCTGAAAAATAACAATTTCAGGATCGTCAAAGTAGCTCTTGCCGATTATTCTGATTCATGTAAGTTTCCATTAACAAATTTTCCAAGAATTTTATTCACTATTACGGACGAGGACGTATAGCGTATAAATAACTGGTCGGAAATGAAATCTCGCATCGCGCGCGCGCGCGGACGCGGCAATCGAGGAAGCGCAGAAACGTGTAGCGCAACGTTGTTTGAGATTCCGGTTTGAAGGCATTTTGCGGTTTCGTGGCGCGGCGTTAAGTGAATCACACGAGACGGAGAGACGGTTAGAGCGCGGCGGAATAATTTTCTCTCGTTATGCGGAGCGCTTGCGGAGCGACTCGTCGCCGAAAGATTTTAGCGTAACGATTCAGCATAATAGTTCTTTCGCACACGTTTCATATTCATCGCGTCGGCGGTCCCGTCTCGCTTCACCTCGCCTCGCCTCGCCTCGCCTCGCCTCGCCAGCCTCGCCTCGAGGCCGCCCCTTAAAATAATCTCCGCCGCGAATCTAGGCTGCCGCGCTGAATACGTCGTATCGCGAATACGTTTCTAATTTGATTTACCTTGTTTCGCCGACGCGGTTCTTGGCGGATAAACCCTTGCCGACGCGACACGAGAGATCTACCAACGGAACATTGCGGATCTGCGTCAACGGAAAGTAGGAATTTACACTTTAATGGTTCAACTCTCCGCATGCATCGGATTTAATCTTCTCTTTATAGCTCGATTCATTTTTAGAGTAAACGTAAAATAAACAGGAATTTGGTTACACGACAAAATGTTATAAAAATTGTCGTATAATATATGATTTTGTAACCGTGGGGAACGTGACAATTTATATACAGGGAAATAACTATTTTATATTCGGTAATGTTGTGTTTGACATACACAAAGAAGTATTGTAATTATTTAAATATTTTGATACCGAAACAAATGCATAATAAACAATGTAATAAATAATAATAATTTTTATAGTAATAAATATCGCTATATTTCAATTTTATATAATAAATGTTGTAAAAAGGAATATATTTTTCATGCAATTTGTATTGCAAATTTTGCGCGAATATTGTTGCATGTTTAATAAATTAACGTGTTTTTATTTCTACGAAAAAAAAAAAAACTCTATCGTTGAATAAAGCAGATTCTTGAATATTTCGAAAAATTGATTTTGCGGAATCGTTTCCCTTTAAACATTTTTATGCCTTTAATCGTACATGCAGAAAGAAGAACGCTCGATGCTTAGTATCGAACGAACTAAATCTAGCTTGGCTGAAAGGAGTGTAATAAATACTAATAATTTTTATGGTAATAAATATCGCTGTATTTCAATTTTATATAATAAATGTTGTAAAAAGGAATATATTTTTCACGTAATTTGTATTGCAAATTTTGCGCGAATATTGCATGTTTAATAAATTAACGTGTTTTTATTTCTACGAAAAAAAAAGAGAAACTTTCTATCGTTGAATAAAACAGATTCTTGAATATTTCGAAAAATTAATTTTGCGGAATCGTTTCCCTTTAAACCTTTTAATTTTTATGCCTTTAATCGTACATGCATATCGGAAAGAAGAACGCTCGATGCTCAGTATCGAAAGAACTAAATCTAGCTTGGCTGAAAGGAACGGATGGATCGTTAATAACGGATCGCTGTCAATGTTACGCGATTCGTAATCCTCCTTCGTCGTTGCTCGACAGTTGCTTCATAGGTGCGGTGCGGAATGTGCTCGTTTTCGGTGTCAAGTGTCTCGTTATCGTCGTTATCTGGCACGCATTAGCCGTACGCGTCATCGGCAACGCACAACGTGCTCGTCAGGCATCCGCCGAAGCGAGGAATCGCAACCCGCGTTACGCGGGATAACGACAAAATTATACGTCGCTGGATTATATAATACCTCGATGCCAACTCGGAAAGCGAAAACTTAAATTAAATCCGGACGACGCCGTCTCGACTCAGGGTCCCATGTTTAAAATTTAAGTCCGACGAAAGAAAATGAATATTTCACGGAGTAAGCAACGCGCGATACGAGATCACGGTGCTCCCTCTCTTTTATTTCC